AGTCTAATTCTACAAAGCAAACCCTTGTCCTTTTAAGCCCAAATTCCCCCCCCCCTTCTAGCTTTTCTTTCCCGCTTGAAATTCTTCGCGCCTTGCCCCGGTTCTCACACCTCCTGGCCTTGGTTGCCTGTGTCAAGATAAAGATCACGGCACCTGGCCTCCTCTCCCCCCTTTTTATGGCAGGTCATAACATTCCCACCATTCCATTATTCACCCACTGATATATACTTAGCAATAAAACTAAAAGCAATAAAAAAACAATTGAAGGTGCTGGCTTGCGTAGATCCTGACAATAGGTGCTCTGTCATTGGAGGTTTTCAAGTGAAGGTTGGACAGCTTCATAATGTGCAATAATAAATGTAATTAAAATCTAGCAAAAGGTATGGAAACTGGATCGTTTGTGAGATGACGTCACAATGTACATGTCATCCTTTGCCTCTTTTGACTGCCCTCCCCGACCCCCATTAATAACTCGATCAGTTAGAAACTTCATTTGCACAATGTGAAAACTCATATTAGTTTTAACGTGGGTGAGATGTTTTATGGCTTAGTGTTTTGTGAGAACTCAGCCAATCTGGTGAGCTTCTGGTTCAATTATTGTGCAGATCCCAAACAATGGGTAAGTTCAGCATCCAGGGTATCCTGTGAATGCAGCTTTATCCCTTTGTGGGTAAATCAGATTGGTGCAACTTCTTTTTTTATAGATATAATGGTTATTAAAAGAAGATTTTACATAAGATTAAATGAACCATGGAACCATAAAAGGTAAAGTAGAAAAAAGAAGATAGGAAAGAATAAAAGAAAAGGTGGAAGAGAACAAAAGAGAAGGAAAAAGGATATCTAAAGAAGTGACTTCCGATGTTCCTTGCAGCCGTTACAAACGTAGTAACTACCATTTCCACCCTCCCAAATTATTTAGCATGGTTCCCCTGTTCCCCTAAGCAAACCTTTTTAATCAATAAATCCCCAATTCGTTTTTGCCCATTTTCAGCAAAAAGCCCATAAAGGGTTTCCAGTCTTTTATGAAAGTAATCAGACAAGTCAATTTAGCCGTTTCTGCAAGCTCTGCCATCTTCATAATCCATTCCTCTATTATGGGTATTTCTGTATTCTTCCATCTTTCTGCATATAATAGCCTCTCTACGGTTACTGTGTATAAAACCAATAGCCTTTTCTAGTCGACTGTCTGTAAGTCCTAGTAAGAAAAATTCTGGTTTCATCTGAATATTAATTTTTAAAACTCTCTGTGTCACCGTAGGTATTTGTGTCCAGTGTCTTTTTGCTTTTTTCACACGTCCACCACGCATGATAAAATGTCCCTTCATGTTTTTTAGGTTTCCAACAGTAATTAGAAGTACCTAAGATGTATATCTTAGATTGGTATAACTTCTTGACTTCCTTGTTCCAATGCTCTTTGCAGCAAGCCAGCAGTTATGCAGAATCTGAAAGTGGAAATATGGAAGTTGTCATGAAAGAAAAGGACATCACGTTGTGCATTTGGGCTAATCTCAAGAAGAATCCAAGGTAGAAACAGAGTTCTCCGAGAACCCGTTGAAGGCACGATAACAAGGCTCCATGTCATGATCATGTTGCGTTTGCAAAGATGAGCCAATGGGATGGCAGATGAAAAGGAGCTGGGAAGTAACTCATGGGTGTCTGTGGGTGTGGGTGTGCCAATGATGCAATCTGCTATGACAAACAAATAGTCCTCACTTAGCAACCACCATTGGAACCAGCAACTCCGTTGCTAAATACTGTGGTCAGTAAGCAGAAAATCACGTGACCACGACCTTACTTCCATCTGGTCATTAAGTGAGTCGCTGCAGTTGTTAAGTGAAGCATCACATGACCATGACTTGCAATGTTATTGCTGCTTGCAATAAATATTGTGACTCTGCTTGTCACAAGGCAGTTGGGAAGCACACAAATGGCGATCACATGACCGTGGGATGCTGCAATGGTCGTAAATGCAAGGATTGGTCACAAAGAGACCTAATTGTGGATAGCTATTACTATTGACCATATTGCTTTTCCTAGAATATAACTTTGGTTGTAATTCCTCCCCGTCAGATTCCGGAACCAATTATTTTATGATGAGGAGAAGCAGCCCTGCAATGGATTTGAACTTCCCAAGCCGCTGACCATCTGCGATGTGGCTATACGCATCTTGCACACCCATTACGACCATTTGTCCCCTATTCAAACTTTCCCCAAAGAACCACCAAAGCTGGACCTCCCAACTACAGAGATCTTGGTTCAGCCCAGTGGGGAAAAGAAAGAAAAAGAGGAAGAGCCTGGGATCCTGAAAGACGTTTCTGAGAGCAAAACAGAACAGTCCTCAGTAAGAACCACGGTAAGATAGCGCAGAAGCTTCCAGCGTCACTGGGTGCTAGCTCTTCGAGGTAGTCCAGACAAGAAGCCCAACAGTGAATCCTACCTCTCTCTCTATTGTTCAGGTTACATCAACAGAATCTCGCAAGACTTCTCTCACTCTCCAGAAAACTAGGGGGGTCCCTTCTGAAACGCTTCCCATGTCTTCTCTGTTTTTGTGGGCCGAGACACTTTTTACATGCCAATTGTCCAGTCGGCAGCTCTTCCTCCTGTCTCCCAAGGTCATCCCCACAGACCGTTACATCCAGGCGTGCCAGGCTTCATTTTGCCGCTAACTTTGGGCATCATGATGTGGGAATACCCTGGCATGAGAGGGAGGGCGTTTGCAGCTTTCATGTAATCATGATTGACATTTATGTCTTCAGATAATTATGTTTATTTTTAAAATCTGTTCTTGGATTTTTTTAAAAAAATTAGTTCACGTTGCTTTGAGGCCAGGGATGTTGAGGGTTCTTAAAAAATGCATGAAGAGTGAAGCAGGGAAGCACTGAGTTGAGCAAGAGAAAAAGAGGGAGCGCCCCAGCGAAAAAGTTTTTATTTGGCCCAGCACATTTTCAAAAATGAGCACTATGAAAACAGAAATGATACAGAAAAAGGGACATTAGAAAGACTTGTGATATTGATCAATTAAAACAAAACCGTCCACACTCCTGATGTGTTGTTGTATTGTTGTTGTGGGCCACCCAGAGTTGTATTCTAAGATGGGGGGGGCGTACAAATCTTTTCAATAATAAAATAAATAAATGTGGCGACCGCGATGCTGCAATAGAAGCTCCGTCCTTTTATGTACAACATTGGCTGCCACAACCGTGACTTTTCGACCTCCCTGTCTGAAGATGTAGAATATGCGGCCTCTGTTTTTCTCTATTTTAAATGAAAATTTTAAAAAGACTCCAACGAAGACAGAAGAATAAGGCACAGAATTATTTTCCCCACTGGAATGTCTGGGAACGAATTTACTAATGTGCTTTGTAAAACTGATTTGTAAAACAAAAAAAGAATTGTAGGGTACAAGGGCAAAATTCTTGAAGGGAGTGGCTTATTTGAATCAAAGGAGATCCTGAATGTCTTCATTTAACTCCCTACTTTTGAGAGATGCTCATGTTTTTTGTAAATAATCATTCACATTATAGGTAGTCCTTGAATTACGATGGCAATTGGGACTGGGATTTCTGTCGCTAAGTGATGCGGTCATAAAGTGTGATGTCACGTGACCACATCGCTTAGCAACAGAAATCCCAGCAATTCTGGTTGCCATTGTAACCGCAGGACCGCGCAGGTTGTTAAGCGTCCACGACATGGAAAGGGGCAGGAGTGCCAATCAAGCAGGCCGGCGGGTGAGAGTATGGGCCAGGGGCCAGGTGCTGTGGGCAGGTGCTAGGAAGTGTGGGCTTGCCACAGTGTGGGGCTTGAGGTGACACTCCTCGGTGGCGGCCTTCAGAAGTCTCAGCCCACCACCACTTCCCCGGGCATCTACTTCAGGCCTAGCGCTGGCCAGAGTATCATCTCAAGACCCGCACCGTGGCAAGCCCCAGCAGCCAGCCAGCCACAAGCCCTAGCACCATAGCAAACCCCACGCTGCAGTAAGACCCACATTGCCTCAAGCCCCGCGTTCCCTAGTGCCTGTCTGCAGAACCCACCACCCTATCTTAAATCTCACCCACTGACTTGCTTGCTTGGGACTTCTGCCTCTTCTCAGGCAAAAAAGACAACAAAGGTCAGCTGGGGGCAGTAGCAGGGTGTGGTGGCCGGGAAGGGCGGTTGTAAATGTGGGCAGGCCTGAATTTTTATCATGTGACTGCGCGGGCACTAGGACAGCCAGAACGTCAAGGACCAGTCATAAGTCCCTTTTTTCAGCACTGTCATAACTTTGAACTGTCACTGAATGAATGGATGCAACTCAAGGACTACCTGTATAGCAAGTTCTTATTGTGGGAATCCACAAGGATGGGTCAAAAACTCAAGATGGCAGCTGCAATTGCACAGTTGAAGCCTGCCCCCTTTTTACTTGCATAAAAAGGGGCTGGGCTTCATTCACACAGTTGCAGCCACCATCTTGACTATTTTGACCTCTTGCCCCCACTGACTTCCCTGGTTCTTATCCAGTAAGATGATAGATTGTAAGCAAATAGAACATCTGGGTTCTGTAAACAGACGCAAGCAAATATATATTGTTTCGAACAGTAGGGTTAAACTCAGAGTATTCTATTGATTTTGCCAGTTTTAACTGATTTTAATGTTTAATTAATCAGAGGAGAGTCTACAGGCTCCAAAAGTGATTTATAAGTATCATTCAACTGTCACAGGATGATGTTCTCTTTTATCTGTAGACCTTCAGTGATCTCTTCACTTATCCAGAAGGAAGAAGAAATGGATCGCGGGAGTCTAGCATTAGAGAAGATTATTATAACAGAAGCTCCGTTCTCCTTCAATCCACCTCCAGAGGTATGTAGTCCCACTGTGAATAATGATGTCACTTTACAGGTAGTCCTCACTTAACAATGGTAATTGGGACTGGGAACTCCATTGCTAAGTGATGTAGTCGTGAAGTGCAAAATCACGTGGCTGTCCTGCTTAGCGACACCAATTCCTGAGATTTGGGTTGTTGTCGTTAAGCAAATCCTGCTTGGTTGTTAAGCAAGGATGTCAGGGGCTTACCCGGTTGCCCTAGAAATGCGCCCCTCTTTCCAGGGAAGCCCAGCAGAATGCACGGAATGCAGGCTGTGTTTTAGAGGGGAGAGCAAAGCAGGGCGGTGGGCAGGCACACTTCGGGCTTGCCTCCCGCTCTTCTGCCAGGCGGGCCTCAGCCAGGCCACTCCCTGGCACATCCTGCAGCCCCAGAGAGGGGGAGGCTTGAGGCATGAATCCTGCTCCAGCCAGGTCCAAGGGCAAGCAACGAGGCTGCCTGCTGGCTCTCTGAGAGCCTGATGGCACAGATGGCCAGTGGGCGCCCAAACGGCTCTTCATGTGGGACTTACTTTCTGGACTGGCGTAGCCCCTGAAAGCCTTGTGTACCCGTTGGTACCACTCCAAGGCACTTTCCCGCAGTGGCGAGCTTAGTTCCAGGCAGGGCCCTGGAGGCTGTCAGCATGTGAGGGAGCACGGACGGCTGGGTGAAGCATGGGATACCAGCCAGACCTGGCCTCCCTATTCACTGCCTCATCCTCCTCTTCTCCTCCACACTGCCGCCACTGCCTGCAGAGATGAAAAATGAGCAGAAATGGCCTGGACACTTCCGGAGGCTTGCAACTTCCTGCCGGCTTCCCCATTGACTTTGCTTGTGGGAAGCCAGCAGGGAAGGTCGCAAATGGTGATTGTGTGACAGTGGGGATGCTGTGATGGTTGGAAATGCGGTCCAGTTGCTAAGTGTTTGAATTGCAGTCATGTGACCATGCAGGTGCTACAACATATGCAACTTTGAGGACTGGTCATGACTCCCACTCATTCAACTCTGTCATAACTTTGAACAGTCACTGAATGAGTGGTTGTTAAGCAAGGACTACCTGTATAATCTTGGGATATGATTTTTCTCCTGGGTGCATATGAGAATATTAATGGATAGGTAGTGAATGTTTCTGTTCCTTCTGAGCTCTCAAGGCTCAGTTTTTCCAAAGATGAGTTGATTTTATGCTGCTTGGCCCATTTCTTTTTTTTTTAAAGCCTGTGCAAAAATTCATACACATTTCTGTGGACATTCTCCCCAAGTTTGCATTTTTGTACAAACTTTTCCCAATGTTTTGCAAGCTTTTTCTCACTATGGCTTATAAAATAAATATAATCTATGCTTCTTTGACATATTTCTCTAAGAGACACAGTTTTGTACACAAGCATTTTTGTTCGGAGAATTCCAGTGTAGTATTCAGAAAAAAATAAAACTTTCCCAAAACAGCTGTGTTTGGGCTCAGGCGTTAGGAGTTTCCTACATTCATATTAAGAGAAGAATGTACCTTTTTCTCCCACTCAAGTAGTGCAATGGGCTAAAAGACCCTCTCTTTGGGGCAGGAAACCCCACTCTATTGGTCTTTTGTTTTAGTAATGGACCGATCTGGTATCAGGCTGTTTCCTTTTGGCTATGGGAGAACCAGCTCTCCCCCAAACCCTTGCACCAGGAGGGTCTTGGCAAGACTTTGTGATCTCACAAGCCCCTTCTCCATTGGCCAGGTAGGCAAGAGTAGGCGTGTCTTGGGCACTGTGGCCAATCAGCGTTTCGGAGGTCTATTCTGTGCTGCCAGGCCTTGGCGAGGAGATCTGTAAAGAAGCTGAAATGAGGGATTGCTGGCAATTTAGAATCACAGATAATCTAACAACTCCCACCCGGCTGTCCTTTTTCAGCTCACATTTCAGCCCTGCGGCTCTTTGATATCAGTGAATTGGAGGTCCTTGAAGATTTCACAGTGGATTTGCACCAGTACATGTCAGTGGGAGGTGTCTATCATTGCGATGTGCTGAAGCTTCCACCTCAAGCCAAGCAAGTCAAGGGATGGACCATGGTCGAAGTAATGCTCATCTTCGAGAGAGGGGGCCTGGGAAAAGGCCTTGCGTGCCACATGGCCTCTCGTTCTCAAACCTTATTTTCTTCTTTCTTTGACCAAAAAGGAGAGAAAGCAAACCGGGAGGCCGAGGGGGTGTTCACACAATTCTTCATCAGGGCAATGAAAGATCTTGTGGCTCCATTGGCCCAACACGCTAAACTGGATTAGGGTTGACCCAACTTAGATTTTTCGTGATTTAAGTGTTGTGTGAACAACACCCAGTAGGGATAGGATGACCAGATATCTGAACATTCAAAGGAGGGCACAGACAATTGGAAAGGAGGACAAATCGGGGGGAAAGGAAGACACACAAACTGTCTGGTATTTGTATTTATATTCCTTGGAGAGGAAGGAATTACAGCCGAATGAACAGGCCCAGGAGGGGGAATACCCATGGAGAGGAAAGTGCTAACCCTGGCTGCTTGCCTAGAGCCCCTGAGGAGGCAAAAGCCTTGCAGTGTGTAACTGATTAAAATCTTGTCAGTTTTAGGCAGCAGCACCAGGCTGTGCTCAGGTCACTTGTTAGATACTCAAAAAGCTGGACAATATTTGATTTTAAGGCTATGCCTGCCAGATGGAGGACGTGAGGACAAAAAGGAGGGCATCTCCTCCTTTTGCTGGAGGTCTGGTAGCCCTAACTATGGGATCGGTAGATTGGGCAAAGCCAGAAAATGGGTTAAGGAACCAAAAAGAATATTGTCAGCTTTTTTGGCTGGTCAGCACTCTTGGATTTTTGAGAAGATGCCATGGGCGCTTATACAGAATGGCAGATGGGGGAGACCTGCCCATTCAGGGGAAGCCTAAAAGGGAAACCTAACCAGTGGAAGCGCTGTTTTGCCAAAATGCTCTCTGCCACATCTGTCACCCACCCCCCCAAACACTCTCTTGCCCCACTTATCTTCATACCTAGAGAGATAGTGACACTTCCCAAGAGAGGACTGGATTGCAGCCACTCACAGTGCTTATTTTCCAAGAAAGCTGATGGGCTGGGGCATCTGCAAGGGGGTAAAAAAGTCAAGATGGTGCCTGCAACTCTGAGATTGAAGCCCCCACCCCCTTTTTATAGGCAACACAAGTAAAAAAGAGGCGAGACTTTGATGGCTCTGTTGTGGACCTGCCTGGACTTTTTTGACCTGCCTCTGCCAACACTCCACAGATAGAACAGAGGGCCCAGGGAATCTGAATCCACAAGCACATTGGCCTTCCCCCAGCACCCCCTTGGGGCTCCCACAGTTTGAGAGAGCTTGCATGCTCCATAAGGTTTAATGGACTAGAAGCTTTCATTCATACTAAAAGAATCTAGCACACCAAATCCCAAGAACACCAAGAAGTCTATTACACTCTAGGCCAGTGTTTCGCAATCTTAGTAACTTTAGGATGTGTGGGCTTCAACTCCCAGAATTCCCCAGCCAGCATGTTGAAGCCTACACATCTAAAAGTTGCCAAGGTTGAGAAAGATTGCTCTGGACAGTTCCTGGTATATTTTATTTATGTGTACGGGTTCTGGAGAGTAATCTTCTCAGATACACTGTGATTCTGTGGAAGGGTGGCGAGACAGGCCACTGCAGAATAAATTGTTAGTGGAAGAAGGGGAATTTTGCTTCACTATCATGCCTCAGACGCAATCTGATAACCGTGTCTGATGATAAACTAAGAAGCAGGGAGTAAGAATAGTTAGCCCAGCTTTCAAGAAAATGCACTTTTAATTGTATTGGTGCATTGGTTAAGGCACCAGACTAGAAGCCGGGAGCCTGTGAGTTCTAGTTCTGCCTTGGGCACAAAGCCAGCTGGGGGACCTGGGGCCAGTCCCTCTCTCTCAGCCCTAGGAAGAAGAAGGCAAGGGCAAGCTACTTCTGAAATCCTGCCGAGAAAACTGCAGGGGCTAGTCAAAGCAGTTGCCAGGAGTCAACACTGACTTGAAGCTTATTGTGCCTTTGAGTCAGTGTTGACTCCTGGCAAGCAAGCAAGCAGATCAATCAATCAATCAATCAATCAATCAATCAATCAATCAATCAATCAATCAATCAATCAATCAATCAATCAATCAATCAATCAATCAATCAATCAATCAATCAATCAATCAATCAATCAATCAATCAATCAATCAATCAATCAATCAATCAATCCACTACTGCCAATGCTTGCTGTTAGCCAGTAGAAGCATTCTAATGATGGAAACTTGGCTATATCCCAGGTTGGATCTTCATATAGACAGAGCATCTTCTTAAAAAAAGGGAAGGGGGGAATTATTCATAAAATTTAGGAATGGATGTGGGATTTGCATATGCAAAAATAAACAGCTGGTGCATGGAGGGTTTTTCTTTTTTTCATTTTTTTTAATAGCTTTGATTGGCAACAGTTTAAAAACTGTTAGGAGTGACTCAACTAGCAGGCAAGTAAATTGGTAGGTGAGCATGCAGAAGGAAGCTAGGTAGATTAAAAAAAAAAAGTGTTTTCTGCCAGCTAGGATGAAATTCAAATTTAAAGAAGGACGTTTGTGATAATGAATAGTTGGTGAACGATGAATAGAAGCATTACAAACTGTTGGAATAATTTTTCCAGCGTTGGTAAAAGGAATTTCAGCACCATCATTACTTGGGGTGTAACTGAGCTGGTCTGAATTACTGAGCCGAGCTCTCCCTTCGGACTGCTAAGACTCAAGTGGAGGAATGGATTCTTTCCATAAAACAGCTAAATTTTCTTCATTCCTTGCCCAAAGGTGCTGGATACAGGATTAGAGACCTACCCCTATGTTGCTCTATATGAAGAAGGTGAAGACAGCTCGGCCATAACCGTGGGGATCACAGTCCATCTTCCTGATTCTGTGATTTATTTTGAACAACCCCTGATAGCAAGATGGGATCCTCAAGGTGTGATACATCTCTAAGCAACCGCTGCAGGAAATAGCTAGATTATAAGGTCCACTTTCTTGTGTTAGTGTTGGACGTCTGGAGAAGAAAACTGGTAGAAATGTTTCAATCCCTCCCTTGTCTTTCAGTTCTTCTAGGCTGCTTTCGCCTGGCCACTTTGTCCCCTGAAGCAGCTCTGAGATCAGAAGCCAGCTGGGATAAAGAAAGGTCTAGGATGGTATTTCTCAACCTTGACAACAGTAAAGATGTTTGGAGCCCCACCACCCCCACCCTCACCACCACATCTCACCCCGTGGGAGACGTCGTGGGGGG